TCATGCTGTTTTTTTTTACTATGGGAAGATTCGATTTTGTTTTGTACCCTGTATTGTTTCAGATCCTCATTTTTGCCGTACCTGAGTACCTGAAATTTACCACTGTTAAACATCATGTTATTTTCTGCTGCCCAATCGAAAACTTTGTTGACATCTGCTTGTAATTTTTCAATGTCTTCAGCAGAGGTAATTTTCATGCTGATTTTTGTGTCATCTGCAATGGACGACACGAAGCTGTGACGTGTATTTTTGTCTATATCACATATAAGAATAAGGAACAGCAGTGGTGCAAGGACTGTACCTTGAGGTACAGAGCTTTTAACATCGCTTGGACTCGATTTTATTTGATCGACTGTTAATCTGTGTTCTGTTCGACAGGAAATTGAGTATCCAGCGTCCTACTTTTCCAGTTATTCCCATTGACCTCATTTAGTGTGCCATCACCCCATGGTCACATTTGTCAGACGCCTTTGCAAAGTCTGTATATACAACATCTGCATTTTGCTTTTCTTCTAGAGCTTCTGTGATTTTGTCATAGTTGATACTTGGTTGATGGGGTTCTGGGAGTTCTTCTACTCCCCAAGCCCGGCCCGAGGCCAGGCTTGACTTGTAAGAGTCTGGTCCACCAGGCTGTTGCTTGGAGCGGCCCGCAGGGCCACATATCCACCACAGCCCAGCTGATCCGGAACTTCTCTTAGAAAACCGTTCAGTTTCCTCTTGAAGATGTCCACGGTTGTTCCGGCAATATTTCTTATAGTCGCTGGGAGGGCGTTGAACAACCGCGGACCTCTGATGTTTATACAGTGTTCTCTGATTGTGCCTATGGCACCTCTGCTCTACACTGGTTCAATCTTGCAGTGGTTGAGTAACTGACAGACAGGATCTTCCCACTCTAAATCCATGTTGTCCTGGATTGTGCAACTCATTGTTTTCCATAAAACTAGAAATTTGATTCCTAATCACTCTTTCAAACACTTATTATGTGTGATGTTAGTGCAACTGGCCTATAATTTTTTGCCAAGGCTTTACTCCCCCCCCCCCTTGTGCAACAGAGCTATATCTGCAGATTTAAGTGCTGTTGGTATCTCCCCTGTATCCAGGCTGTTCCTCCGTATTATGTCGAGCGCTCGCGCTACTGGTACTTTACATTTCTTGATGAATATTGAATTCCATGAGTCTGGCCCAGGAGCTGAGTGCATAGGCATAGTGTCAATTTCTCTTTCAAAGTCTTCCGAGTTTGTGGTAATATCCGTTATATTATCTGCAGCTTGACTGTCATTCATAAAGAAGCTGTCTGGGTTATCAACTTTCACGTTGTTTATTGGTGTGCTAAACATAGCCTCATACTGGCTTCTTAGAATTTCATTTCACTTAGGATAGAGGGAGGGGGGAACTGGATAGGGGAAGGGAGGAAACTGGATGGATAGATGGAGGGAGGGGGGGGGGGGAAACTGGATAGATGGAGGGAGGGAGGGAGGGAGGGAGAGAGAGAGGGAGGGGGGAAACTGGATAGAGGGAGGGAGGAAACTGGATGGATAGATGGAGGGAGGGGGGGGAAACTGGATGGTTGGATGGGAGGGAGGGGGAAACTGGATGGTTGGATGGGAGGGAGGGGGGAAACTAGATGGTTGGATGGGAGGGAGGGGGGAAACTGGATGGTTGCATGGGAGGGGGGGGGGGAAACTAGATGGTTGGATGGGAGGGAGGGGGGAAACTGGATGGTTGGATGGGAGGGAGGGGGAAACTGGATGGTTGGATGGGAGGGAGGGGGGAAACTAGATGGTTGGATGGGAGGGAGGGGGAAACTAGATGGTTGGATGGGAGGGAGGGGGAAACTGGATGGTTGGATGGGAGGGGGGGGGGGGGGACTAGATGGTTGGATGGGAGGGAGGGGGGAAACTGGATGGTTGGATGGGAGGGAGGGGGGAAACTGGATGGTTGGATGGGAGGGAGGGGGGAAACTGGATGGTTGGATGGGAGGGAGGGGGGAAAGTGGATGGTTGGATGGGAGGGAGGGGGGAAAGTAGATGGTTGGATGGGAGGGAGGGGGGAAACTGGATGGTTGGATGGGAGGGAGGGGGGAAACTGGATGGTTGGATGGGAGGGGGGAAACTGGATGGTTGGATGGGAGGGGGGAAACTGGATGGTTGGATGGGAGGGAGGGTGGAAACTGGATGGTTGGATGGGAGGGAGGGTGGAAACTGGATGGTTGGATGGAGGATGGAAACTGGATGGATGGATGGAGGGGGGAAACTGGATGGATGGTGGGGGGGGGAGAGACTGGATGGATAGTGGGGAGGAGGAGAGGGACTGGATGGATGGTGGGGAGGAGGAGAGGGACTGGATGGTTGGTGGGGAGGAGGAGAGGGACTGGATGGATGGTGGGGAGGAGGAGAGGGACTGGATGGATGGTGGGGAGGAGGAGAGGGACTGGATGGATGGTGGGGAGGAGGAGAGGGACTGGATGGATGGTGGGGGGGAGGGACTGGATGGATGGTGGCAGGGGGGGGGGGGGGGGGGACTGAATGGATGGTCCATGACTGGATGGCAAAATGACGGCACTCCATGAATGGATGACTGGATGGCAAAATGCAGATGTTGTACACACAGACTTTGCAAAGGCGTTCGACAAATGTGACCATGGGGTGATAGCTCACAAAATGAGGTCAATGGGAATAACTGGAAAAGTAGGACGCTGGATACTCAATTTCCTGTCGAACAGAACACAAAGAGTAACAGTCAATCAGATAAAATCGAGTCCAAGCGATGTTAAAAGCTCTGTACCTCAAGGTACAGTCCTTGCACCGCTACTGTTCCTTATTCTTATATCTGATATAGACAAAAATACATGTCACAGCTTCGTGTCGTCCTTTGCAGATGCCACAAAAATCAGCATGAAAATTACCTCTGCTGAAGACATTGAAAAAACTACAAGCAGATGTCAACAAAGTTTTCGATTGGGCAGCAGAAATAACATGTTTAACAGTGATAAATTTCAGGTACTCAGGTACGGCAAAAATGAGGATCAGAAACATAATACAGGGTACAAAACACAATCGAATCTTCCCATAGTAGAAAAACAGCAGGTCAAGGATTTGGGAATAATGATGTCCAATGATCTAACGTTTAGGGAGCATAACCAAGCAAATATCGCATCAGCCAGAAAAATGATCAGATGGATTACGAGAACTTTCAAATCCAGGGATCCCATCACAATGGTTGTACTCTTCTAGTCACTTGTATTGTCCATTCTCTAGTACTGCTCAGTACTCACTTCCCCCTTCAGAGCAGGAGAGATTGCGGAAATAGAGGGAATACAGAGAACATATTCGGCACACATAGACAAGATAAAACACCTAAATTATTGGGATCGTCTCAAAGCTCTCCAAATGTACTCTCTAGAAAAGAGACGAGAGAGATACCAAATAGTATACACATGGAAAATACTGGAGGGCCAGGTCCCAAATCTACACAGTAAAATAACAATGTACTGGAGTGAACGATATGGAAGAAAATGCAAGATTGAACCAGTGAAGAGCAGGTGCGCCATAGGCACAATCAGAGGGCACTGTGTAAACATCAGAGGTCCACGGTTGTTCAACGTCCTCCCAGCGACTATAAGAAATATTGCCGGAGCCACTGTGGACATCTTCAAGAGAAAACTGGACTGTTTTCTAAGAGAAGTTCCGGATTAGCCGGGCTGTGGTGGGTATGTGGGCCTGCGGGCCGCTCCAAGCAACAGCCTGGTGGACCAAACTCTCACAAGTTGAGCCTGGCCTCGGGCCAGGCTTGGGGAGTAGAAGAACTCCCAGAACCCCATCAACCAGGTATGGTGGGAGGGAGGAACTGGATGGATGACGGGAGGGGGGGGAAGGGAGGGACTGGATGGATGACGGGAGGGGGGGAAGGGAGGGACTGGATGGACGACGGGAGGGGGGGAAGGGAGGGACTGGATGGATGACGGGAGGGGGGGGGAAGGGAGGGACTGGATGGATGACGGGAGGGGGGGAAGGGAGGGACTGGATGGATGACGGGAGGGGGGGAAGGGAGGGACTGGATGGATGACGGGAGGGGGGGAAGGGAGGGACTGGATGGATGACGGGAGGGGGGGGAAGGGAGGGACTGGATGGATGGACGGGGAGGGGGGGAAGGGAGGGACTGGATGGATGACGGGAGGGGGGGAAGGGAGGGACTGGATGGATGACGGGAGGGGGGGAAGGGAGGGACTGGACTGGATGGATGGTGGGAGGGGGGGGGACGGATGGATGGTGGGGGGGGGGGGGAGGGGGGACTGGAATGGAGGGACTGGATGGATGGTGGGGGGGGGACGGGAGGGGGGGGAAGGGAGGGACTGGATGGATGGTGGGGGGAGGGGGACTGGATGGATGGTGGGGGGAGGGGGACTGGATGGATGGTGGGGGGGGGGGAGGGGGGTGGGGGGGGGGGGACTGGATGGATGGTGGGGGGAGGGGGACTGGATGGATGGTGGGGGGAGGGGGACTGGATGCATGGTGGGGGGAGGGGGACTGGATGCATGGTGGGGGGAGGGGGACTGGATGCATGGTGGGGGGAGGGGGACTGGATGCATGGTGGGGGGAGGGGGACTGGATGCATGGTGGGGGGAGGGGGACTGGATGCATGGTGGGGGGGGGGAGGGGGACTGGATGCATGGTGGGGGGAGGGGGACTGGATGCATGGTGGGGGGAGGGGGACTGGATGCATGGTGGGGGGAGGGGGACTGGATGCATGGTGGGGGGAGGGGGACTGGATGGATGGTGGGGGGAGGGGGACTGGATGGATGGTGGGGGGAGGGGGACTGGATGCATGGTGGGGGGAGGGGGACTGGATGGATGGTGGGGGGAGGGGGACTGGATGGATGGTGGGGGGAGGGACTGGATGGATAGTGGGGGGGGGGACTGGATGGAAACTGGTGGTTTTGGTGAAAAAGAGCCTTAAAGAGAGACCAACGTTGTCTACACTTTACCATGCCCACTTGGGGATTGTCAGCCACAACAAACTCAGTATCAGTATATAGGCAAGACAACAGCGTCCCCCTCTAGGACTCTCTAGGAGTCCTCTCTAGGACAAACAACAGTGCTCCATCAAGGAACACAATCGCCACACACGAGACGATCACCAGGAATATTTTGACGAGCAACTGAAATAATTTATAGATACAAAGACAACAAACATAGAAGCTGTACTGAATGACCCTGTAACAGGAACTTAAGCAGCCAGAACATAAGCTGCAAACATGTCACATTATGTTGATACATTTAATACCTTATTAATATCTCCCATGTAATGTCATTCATCCATGTCAACTAACCATAAGAGGATATAACCAGGTGCTAAGCACAGTAGAATTTGTCCGAGAATGTGAGTCGAGTACGAAATGCATCACTAGGCGTCAGACCCAAATAAAAAGTAAAAAAAGAACCTTGGAAAGTTAATTTTTCAACTTCCTGCTTCAGTGAAGAAAAACAAGGAATATCCAGAAGATTCTTGTCAGAACCATAAATCTAAAACTTTGTCATTTTCAACAAAATACGTTTAAAAGAAAGACAGCTATCAAAATATTCTAATATAAAATTAATTTTTTTTTAATAATGCAGATAGGTACTTTAAGCTTTATCCACCACAAGGAGCATCTCGGCATCCAGGTGAAATACAAAATTGATAAATTATTACCATGGATGATATAATAATCAATTTAATATACTAAGCTGTCACCAGTACAAGACAAACCCTCACCCTTGTAAAATGTCACCTGGAAAGAATTACTACTTTACCATAAATTCATATTTAAGATTAATATGTTTTCAATTTTGGAAATGTGATGGAGGCAAATTAGGCTGCTGAAGCATATTTTAGGATATCAACTGTCACTTGCCACTTATATTTCTTGACAAAAATGTCCTTGCTTGTTTTATTCAAGATCTAAAGTATTGTAATCAATATTTCTGTTTAAGATGAACATTATTAAGGTTCAGACACTAACATGAAGTTTCCTACTTCATTACATACCTAGTAGGATTTTAATTTTTTTTTTTAAGTACAGCAACAAAATCTAAAATCAGACATTTGTGGTGACTGACCTGCAGCTTCTAAAGGTGAAAGGCTTCTAAAGGCTTCTAGCCGTGAACGAGTATCAGGATCAAAATGCGGTTGAGTATGGTGTGGCGAGGCAGGACTACGGTCCAGTGTAGTGGCAGTGGCACAGGCTGCAGCCGACGACAGCAATGTGTTATGTATGCTCCCAGCTGCTCCACCCACCTCCTCCTCCTCCTCCTCCTCCATGAAGGAGGAGGTGGTGATGGTCTCTCTTGTCACCATCTGAGGAAAGAGGGCGAGGTTAAATCCACACTAATGAAACAAAAAAACCCTTTCTACAAGGGCAATTACATTACCTTTTTGTTTTACCCTAAAGTTGCTGACCTTAATGTTTATACAATACTGTAATTAGGAACGAACAAACATGACAACTGCTGGATAGTTAACCGCACTAGCATATTTCTAACTTTCAGTTATCAATAATCAACTTTTTATTATCAATTCAGGGATTCCATCACAATGGTAGTACTATTCAAATCACTTGTGCTGTCCCATCTTGGGTATTGCTCAGTACTCGCTTCCCTCTTCAGAGCAGGAGAGACTACTGAAATAGAGGGAGTTCAGAGAACATACATGGCATACATAGATGCGATAAAGCACCCAAATTATTGGGATCGTTTCAAAACTCTCCAAATGTACTTGCTAGAAAGGAGACGAGAGATACTGGAGGGCCAGGTCCCAAATCTACACAGTAAAATAACTTACTTGAATGAACGATATGGAAGAAAATGCATAATAGAACCAGTGAAGAGCAGGGGTGCCATAAGCACAATCAGAGAACACTGTATAAACATCAGAGATGTCCATGGTTGTTCAACATCCTCCCAGTGAGTACTGTACAGTATAAGAAATACTGCCGGAACAATCGTGGACATCTTCATGAGAAAACTATCTAGTTTTCTCATGAAGTGTTGGACCAACTGGGCTGTTCTGGATATGTGGGGCTGCTAGTATGCCACATACAATGCTGCTAGCATGTGGGCCTGCTAGCTTGGAGCAGCCTGCTGACCACTCCAAGCAACAGCCTTTCGGACCGAGCTTTCACAACTCAAGCCTGGCCTCGGGCCGGGCTTGAGGAGTAGAACAACTCCCAGAACCCCATTAAGCAGGTATCAGGCAGGTATTATTAGCTCAGAATTTTTTACTAGAATGAAAACTGAATTTAAAATAGCTAAGGGACTGAGAATTTAATGTTCTGAGCAAAATGCAGCAAGCCCAGTATATTTACAAGAAATATCTACAAAATGTACTACAGCTTAATAATACCCACATTTCCAAATACAATACACCCAGCCATTATAAATGGAAAGCACATGAAAAAATTCTAATGAAGTAGGCCTACCATTAATGGCAATAAATTGCAAAATAAAACAATGAAAAAAACATATCCACCTTGTTAACACATTTTCAGCTCTGTGGCTTAACACTTTCATCCTCAGGGGACGAAGTTCACGTAACATCAGTTCACCTAGTGTGATATATCTATATAATAAAATGTGTGAAGCATCACTATACTCAAAAGTATGAGGTGCATATTAGCGATTCAATTATTATTGAATCACTATAATTATTGAATTGATTCATAAAACAAAAATTTTTGCTGTAATTACACTACACACACAGGTCATATACAAGTATCTGCATGTTTTGTTCGCCATAACGATACACCAAGTTGGTATGGCAGGTCATAAAGATGATTGGCTGCCACACACTAGCTAGCAAATGCCACCTCCTTCCCTCCCACATCAACTCCTCACTTGCCAACACCACTCCTCCCATCATACTGTTTTTGCTTTTATTCACTATACACATACAAACATTATAAGTATCTACACTTTTTGTTCCCCCCATAACTGTACCAGCTGTTATGGTGAGTTCAGACAATAACAGAGGTCGTGCCACACACAGTCAACTGATGCTGCCTCACTCCCTCACTCGTTCAAGGCCAGATGCACTAAAATTCCTCCAACCATACTGTTTGTTGTGGTATTATACTATACACACACATTATATACACGTATATAGATGATTTATTCACCATAACTGTACAACTAAGCTGATGATGGTGTCCAAACAGCATAGTGGCCACCCTTACACAGCATGACAAGTCATGCAGATGATGCCACCTCCCTCACCAAAAAATGGCTCTTCCCAACATACTCCTTTTATATTTAAGTATCTACATTTGTGTTCACCATAGCGAATAACTAAGCTATTTGTGCTTAGTTATTATTACTACATTACTACATTACTAAGCTAAGTTCACTAAGCTGGTATGGTGAAGGCAGACAATAAAAGGTGGCCACACAGTCAGTAAATGAAGATACTTCCCTCCTGCCTTCAGCATTACTCCTCCCACCATACTACACACAGCACTAATTATCACCACAATCCTGCTATTATCAGAATCCTGGTCATTTTTATCAGTCAGGGGTCTTCTGTAATACTATCATTGCTAAATAATAGCAGCTACATGTATATTTTGACATTTTTAAGCGATGCTGTTGTCACAAGCTGAACGGCAATGCTGTTAGCTCATACTGCATCGCCAGCCTTTTTTTTTTTTTTTTTTAAATATATACAAGAGTTGTTACAATCTTGTACAGCCACTAGTATGCGTAGCGTTTCGGGCAGGTCTTTGGAATACGATCCCCTGCCGCAAAGAATCGTTTTTTCATTCAAGTACACATTTTACTGTTGCGTTAAACAGAGGCTACAGTTAAGGAATTGCGCCCAGTAAATCCTCCCCGGCCAGGATACGAACCCATGACATAGCGCTCGCGGAACGCCAGGCGAGTGTCTTACCACTACACCACGGAGACCTTGGTTGCTCATTAAGTACTGTGAGGCTCTTGCACCCGAGAATGTTACCCCAATTTTTTTTTTAAAATGGCATCTGTTTACAAGAGACCCGAGGAAGCTAATGTGAACCCTGTGTAGCTGCGAGGCATTTAAATCGTGCGTGGGACCCTTCAATCGCTAATTGATTTTTTATTTTGATGTACAATGAGCACATTGCGGTGCAGGTTACTCCCATCGCCTCTGAGTACATATTTTGCAACTTATGGGTTATAGGTAAACTCTTCCAACATGAGTACCTGTACACCCAAATCCTTAACACTGCTTTTTAGTTCTATGTTATGCTTTGACTGCGTTTTGTACATCTTTTTATATATTTTTTTTTTCGTAGTGCAGGAGCTGGAACTTACCTGCATTAAATACTATATATTACTGTATTTTCTGTGGCCCATTGAAAGACCGATTTACATATGATTGGAGGTTTGCTGTGTCCTCTATGTTGATTTCTCTTAAAAATCCTAGTGTCATCTGGAATGGATGATACAGTACTATAGATTGTGTCCTTGTCTATGTCCAATATGGGGAGGAGAAAAAGTACTGGAGCAAGCACAGTACCCTGGGGAACTGAGCTCTTCACAGTTCATGGTACGGATTTTATGTTGTTGACTATTACAAATTGGGTTCTGTTGTCAGAACATCCAGATGGATTACATAATTGTAATCTGCCTATTTCACTGGTAATTCCTTTGGAACGCATTTTGTGTGCAATAACACCATGCTTACATCTGTCAAAGACTTTTGCAAAATCTGTGTAAATTACATCAGCGTTTTAATTGTCTTCCATGGCATCTAAGGCCATGTCATAGTGGTCCAGCAACTGTAATAGGCAAGAGCACCCTGTTCTGAAACCATGTTGTCTAGGGTTATGGAGATGCTGTGATTCCTTGTATTTTGTGATCTTACTTCTTAGCGCACTTTCCAAGATTTTATGATGTGTGTTGATAGTGCTATAGGTCCGTAATTTTTTTTACTCTGCCTGGAGAGTGAAAAAAAGTTCTTGGGAGTCCTTCTACTTCCCGAGCCCAGCCTCATAGTAGTAGTGGCTGCAATCACGAAACAGGTGCTTGGAGTATGCAAGTTGCTTTATCTTAATTTAAGAACAAGCTTTACAACTCAACTGTGTGAGTGAAGGTATTTCAGCGAGCATGTACATTTAAGTGTGAGCACGTCAAAATTTACATTTTAGTGTGCATGCATATGTCCAGTGAGTACATGCATGCAAACTTGCACAGTTTGTTCATGTGTGTAGCTAGTTTATGGGATCTGTGCACATTGGCTGGGAAGAGAATGTGAGTGGTGGGGTGCGTGTCCAAGGAGAGAATGGCAATTATGACTATTTGAAAAGTTTTGTGCTTATTAAATCTTAATTTGTTCAATTGCATTTACAACAATAGCAGCAGCAGCCTTTTATTGTGAAGTATGATTATGAATCACAAACCTTCGATGATGATGGCCATTCAAATAAGAGAACCAATTTATGTCTAAACTTTCCTATTTTATGGAAGTTAAGTGAACTATCAATGGTGACGAAGACTCAGCCGAGGACCAAAACACACTATCATTTTTTCCACACCTTTCTGGCAAACTAACAATATTTTTATTTCGAACTACCACATACCAAAAGGAGAACCAAGGTGTTTAATTTCTGAATCTGGCCTGTTAAGATTTAAAAGATAAATGGAACTATACAAACTATATCGGACATAGACAAGAACACAACCTATAGCACTGTATCATCCTTTGCAGATGACACTAGGATCTTCATGAGAGTAGGCAACATAGAGGACATGGCAAACCTCCAGTCAGATGTAGATCAGGTCTTTCTATGGGCTACAGAAAATAATACGGTGTTTAACGAAGATAAGTTCCAGCTCATGTGCTATGGAAAAAATGAAAATATAAAAACGGAAACCACGTACAAAACTCAGGCAGATCATAACATAGAACGAAAAGGCAATGTAAAGGATCTGGGTGTACTCATGTCGGAAGACCTTACCTTTAAAGAACACAATAAAGTAGCCGTCACAACTGCAAGAAAAATGACAGGTTGGATAACAAGAACTTTTCACACAAGAGATGCTATACCGATGATGATACTTTTCAAAACGCTTGTGCTCTCTAGAGTGGAGTACTGCTGCACAATGACAGCACCTTTCAAAGCTGGAGAAATTGCTGACCTGGAGAGCGTGCAGAGATCCTTTACTGCTAGAATCCACTCAGTAAAACATCTAAACTATTGGGACCGACTAAAGAGCCTAAAACTGTACTCCCTTTAGCGCAGGCGGGAGAGGTACATAATAATTTACACGTGGAAAATATTAGAGGGGCTGGTCCCAAACCTGCACACAGAAATAACATCACAC